GCAATGTTTGCGTCTTAAAGTCTGCGGTGTTCGGTGAAACGAAGTTATCTGCGGTTCCGCAGTTTCCATTTTGAAGCTTGTCAGTTCTAAATTTAGCCTCCATCATGTTTGATTTGAAATAAAATACACTCTAAGGGTCCTCTAATACTCTCTAGTTAATATTAAATACGCTGCCCGTCACCAATCCTAAGCCTGTTTTTCATTTATATTAAGTAACTTGATAAGCAACGTGACCTCGCGACCCGGATCGCCACATGTACGTCCGTCAGGCAAGATGAGCGAAAACCTTGCGACTGACGCAGCTGATCCTGTCGATCCTGAATGCGTAGTTCATTGCGTAGCTTTTTTTTACGAGGAGGGCAAAGGTGGAGAAGACTATAGGTGGCAAAACAAGGAGGAAAAGAGACTCGCGAAGTTTGTAGAATGCATTTGGTAAGTAACACGCATTGTCTCTGTATCTGAATATCGTAGCTAGTCTTAACTGTATAAGGTTGTACGGAGGTCAATCCGATATCTGTCTAAACCCACTCCAAGGTCGTTCGATCTTCTGGGACCTTTTAAGACGCTGTTTGGATCACTATTTGACCTATTTTTGTCTACTTTCTCAAATGGGTCAAATAGCATTGATATCAAGCGCGTGAACTTAAATATTCAAGAAAGGAGACTGGGAGTATTTTTCTGTGACAATGTTAATTAATTTCAGGACAAGTGACTCTCCGGAAATATTCTTGTAGCACGAGGCAGCGGTAATTTTTCCGCTCAAGTTCAAGTTCTAGGATTCTAGAGTCAAAGTGTACGTAACAACCAAGATCGAAAGGCATAGGCAGAGTAACTACAGCTTTGGCCTCGTTATGTGTTGTTTCAGAGATTTTCTTAAGGTCAAAGGCAAAATCTTGAAAGCTTTATCTTGTACTGACGCTAAAATCATCAGACTGAAAATAGATATTGCGGTGACGGTGATCCAGCGACTTTTCTTGCGGTGATGCGGTGTTCGGTCAAATTTTTTGCGGTGTTGCGGTGTTCAGACGCCCTCAATGTCCCCCTCCTAGTCCCAAAAGTTAAATTTCATCTAAACTTTAAACTACAATTTTTAAATAAAAACGTAAATATTTTTATCAATATTCCCAATCACCAATCGTAAACTTTAAGATATAGTTTTAATTTTAATATTTCTATAGAAATTTATCAATAAATTCATCCAGATGTTTTACATGCAGCCAGCTGGTGTCAATTTTACCACAGCAACATATTTTCACCTCACGTTGCCATGTTTTTTAACGCTCCTTTTCCTCACTAGCAGTCAAACAAAAGTTAACACCCTTTTCTTTTAGCTGTCCATATGGAATACGACAAACCGCAACACATACAGGCATAAATTTCAGTTTAAACTAAAAGCTTATATTATTATCGCAAATAGAACGATAAATCATATGAACATGCTTCTGATTCCTTACCTCGAGCGAACCGAACTTACAATCAGCCTACACCTCCAAATCCTCTACCCACTTCCATGAGAAGTCTTCTTTTAACACCACCCAAAATACTTCGCAGCAAATTTAAGTCATTTTCCATCCTTGATTAAAAAGAAGCCACAATTCTCCTTTCACGTTGTCGCCAGCCAACGCTGAAAACCTTCCATTAGCTATACCATGCGCCCTTGCAAACCTAACTTTTACGTCATTGGCTCACGCGATCATGGCGTCAAACTCAAATTCAAAAAGAAATTGTTTTTTGAGGCTTCACTGTGCTCACGTGCCGACTAAAAACCTTTGTAAACAAGAACTAAACGGATAAACAGGTAAAGAAGCAACTCTTTATTCCACTTTACGAAAGTTTCAAATTTACATTTACTCTCTTTATATAAAACCGGTTTTTATCTTTATATTTTCCCGAATTAGAATGTTTTTTCACTATACACCACTAAGTTTTTGTAACTTTTTACAAAAACAGAACCTTATATCTTTTGACCAGGGCGGATAAAGGTTGATGGTTGGCGATGAAACGACCGCGTCAGAGCAAAAAGGTGTGATGCAGTATATAGTCCCTATATAAGGAATTTAATTTCAGTAAGGAATCAATCTGCTTATCATCTGCGATCAAATGATAGATTACTATTAGATTTCCCTCGCGGGAAGATGTTGATCTTTTTCTGTCAATGCTCCCACATGGTGGAATTACCCATCTCGTTAAGGAAATCAAAAACAGTTCAAAAGTTTAAATCTTTACTCAAAACATATCTTTTTTAACTAGCTCTTAATTCTTAATTCTTTTTAATTCTGCTCAGCAATGTGGCAAATGTGTTTTGGATTTTGCTCGAACTTATCGTTATTTAGTTTTGTGGCAAAATAAAACGCGCGTTTTATAAATGAAACTTGTGTCATACACCTTGATGGCGTGCACCTTAAACGAGGTACTAAGTACAAAGATCTCAGAGTCACCACCCCTATACTAGCTTCCTCTCTTGGGACACGCACTAGCCTGCGTAGCAGGCGCTTGGAACCAGTGGGCGCAAGAAAGGACGGGGGCGCGCGTGTCTCCCTCTCGCGCGCCTGTTCTTTCTATCATCCAAATACCTCCAAGCGCCTGTTACGCAGGCTAGACACGCACATGATACTATCGTGTGCAAAGGCCAACGAGCTCCTTGGACCTCTGAAGTGGGCCTGCCCTCTCATAACGGACGTCAATGTGAGGCGGACGCTCTACCTGTTTCTGGTGAAGTCCCAGGTGACGCACGCGACTCAAGTGTGGTCACCAAACCAGTACTCGTTGAAGACGAAGATCAAGCGTGTACAAAAGCGAGCCATACGAATTGTCGAAATGTCGTAAAAAAATACACATTTAACCAAAAAAACCATTTAACCATTCAACCAAAACTAAAGCACTAGTCTGATCTGAAATCTCTGGGCTCGTTCCCGGGATGTCATGTCGGAGGGGGTTGAGGGGGGAGGAGGAAGCCAGTTGGGGCGTCGGGAAATGTCGGCTTTTTTTTTTTTTTCAGGGTACCAGTTTTTAAATTTGCTTCGATCAGGACCAAACCCTCTCTGGGTGTCAAAGAGGATCAACGCATGTTAACTGTAAATCCATCTCTCTAGGGATGATATTGGCACCCTAGAGCTAAGTTCATTAAGGATTCAAGGACGATCTTTATCTCCTAAAGTAGCGGCCTCCCACGCCGACTTGAGGAAGTCCTAAGATCGTCTGCGAGGGAGGTTACTCCTTAAGAAGCTTCTACCGTGTTTACGCCCTCCCCCAAAACAGGAAGAGCGTTGCGTTACGATAGAGGAAACAACTGAGTAGGAGACTGGGTCACGAAAACGGGGAAGCGAAAAGAAAGGATCATTTTGTCTTCAACAGGTTTAGCGTTTGAAGGACTCAGCGGCACACTCGCACCAAAACTTCCCTCAAGTGCGCCCCCCGCCCCCGGCACCCGGATAAAATCATGCGTTTTTTGAACAGCACCCTGGTGCTAGTTTCGCTTCACCGGTGATCTTCGATTTCGGCTTAACTGTTACTTCTTATATTAGCAGGTGTGTTAGCTGGCATCCATTAAGTCAATAACAAAAGTGGTGGCTGCAGTTTACAGTTTCTGAAGGTGAGTTGCTGAAATCAGCCTTCTGACTGCATGTAAGGCCGCTGCTTTCAAACTATTGAGGGCAGGATATCTTGTTACTTGGTCAGAAAAAAGATTTTTAACCTCAACAAATAGGGACGCCCTTCCCGTGACCAAACCCGAAGCGCTGTGACACTTCAATTTGGGCATAAAACAACCGCTCCACCTCGAAACCACTTCAAGCGGGTCTGAAGTCTGAAGTCTGAACCGAAGATGAAGTATCTGTGCGCTAAAAGGGAATGCATACCCCCCTCCCTCTCCCCGCACCATCCCCTTGCTAGACCCAACTCTGCTTTTTCTGTCCCAAAAGCAGTTTGCCCTGCATTTTGCTGGATGCACAGATTGATTTACTGAGGAGGGAGGCCAGACGGACATCTATAATATTGGTCTAACAGAACTTTAATCATATCAAAAACTCAAACTTATATACAAGGATGACTACTTGCAAGAAAGCTAAACATGATGTACCAGACACTTTTAGATAGTAATAACTGCAAAATAAAATTCTAAGGCCGTGACGCTTACTGTGAATCACATTATGCTGATTACATTCCTATAGGAAAATTTCTTCATATCTAGCTGTATGTTTAGTTATTTAACTTGAATGTAAACGTCCATTAATTTGTTCCAGTCTTCATTATGGGTCATTAAGACACATTGTTATTAACGCTAGGCTTCACGATAAGTGGAGATTTTTTTAGGAGTTAGTAAACTGTAATCTATTCCAAAGCTTTTTAGCTTTTAGTTCTTTTGATTTGTTCAAATCACACCCTGTTGCTATGTAAAGCTATAGTAATGACCAAACAAATGTTTTCTTCTCACAAAAACCCACACTATTATTATGAAAAAAACAAAACAAAACAAAACAATATATATTACGGAAACCTAAGAGCTTCGAGATTGCTTAGAAGCTACCTGATTGACGAACTAATAAAGAACTTTCAAACTTCTTTTTAAAAAATCGAAAATATAATATCAAAGAATGCAGCTCAAATTATTGCTGTTCAGAAAAATATATTTACAAACGCTTAGATAAATACTTTAAAGTTTATTTTCCTTGCTTTTGAGAGATTTTTCCCTTGCTGGGTTATTTTGTTAGCTCTAAGGTCTAAGCTTTTTTTCTTTTGCAGTTAGTATGTATGAGTGCAGTGCTGCCAGTGAAGCGTTTTATACATCCATCAGTTATCTTATTGAGCTTTAAGTTTAGAAAAAGCAATATTGATTCAGCTTTAACTTGTTTAGTTTGTAGTTAGTGTGGTGTTAATCAGTTATCTGATTAAAAGCGAGGTTTAATCTTTTTAGTTCGCAAAAACCCTGATTGTGTTGGTTGCCAGGTAACAACTTCGCAATCTCAATACATCCTGGCGACTGAAAGTTGTTGAAGTTTAAATCAAAATCCAAAAAGTGAGAAAGATACTTTACAGTTTACGTTTATTGACTTTAGGAGATCTTTACCTTTATCAGCTATGTTGTTACTCGAGAGGTTTAAGCCGTTTAGTGTGCAGTTAGTATGTGTGAGTGCTGTAGCTAAATGTTTAACTCCTTCATCAGTTATGTTGTTAAGCGCGAGGTTTAAGAGGTTTAGTGTGCAGTTAGTGTGTGTGAGTGCTGTACATAAATCTTTAACTCCTTCATCAGTTATGTTGTTATCCGCGAGGCTTAAGCTGTTTAGTTTGCAGTTAGTGTGTGTGAGTGCTGTACATAAATGTTTAATTGCTTCATCAGTTGTGTTGTTGCCATCGAGGTTTAAACTTTTTAGTTCGCAAAAACCCTGATTGTGTTTGTTGCCAGGTAACAACTTCGCAATCTCAATACATCCTAGCGACTGAAGGTTGTTGCCGATTAAATTAAAATCCAAAATTCCTTCAACAGATTTAAGTGCATGCACTAATGCTAAACAGTCGAGAGGTGACAGGTTACAGGAACTAAAATGAAGCGCATTACAACCAATTTTCGCCAGTTTCTTTTGAACTTCTCGATCAGAGGCTTTGTTCTCATACATGCAATTGAATAGCGTCACCACTAATAACCTGTCTTCATAGTCAGCTGGCCAACAGGTCAGTGTTTCAGTTCGTTTCTCTGAATCTTCATTCATCTTGATTTCAACTTCTTCAGTAACAGTTTTTGAGGGGAGAAGGTCGCTGAAAATATCTGTTGACTGTCCTTCTTTTTCAGCCAGCAGTCCAGCCACAAACTGCATCACAACCTTCCACGCGCCATCTTGGATGTGATCGGAAACAAACTTCTGCAGGTCTTCGGAACTGTACGTGTCCACCAAATACTTCGCCGCTAAGAACTCCTGTATCGTCAGGTGTAAAAAACAATATTGTGCTCGTCCTTCCGTTAAACCGCTAAAACTATCAGGTAAACGGTGGAACAAAGCATTGTTTTCTTGGTCATCGACCTCGCCTGATTCGAAAATGAGTCTTCCTTCTTTGATTCCTTTCAAAGCAATTTTTCCCAGTCTCTTAAACAACAACTGCACATGTTCAGGTAACGCATTAAACGGCTTTAGATAAAACTGTTGAGCTTTATGTGATCTGTAACGGCTTTTGATATCATCGTGACAAAAGTAAAAAAATCTTGATGGCTATGGAGTATAGTTCGGTTAGTCTTGTAGGAAGGCAGCTGGAGACGGGTGAGTTCAGCAAGTGTAACAAGCACGAACAAATAATGAAACAATTGACAGGAATGTAGCAGAACGATTGGAGGTTGGGGTTACTTCTGATGTGTTGCTTTATGGTTTCTGCTTTGTCAACATCACCTTCTGTGAAGCTCTCCACATATTCTTCCACCTTTGCAGATGTAAAGCCCAGAATTTCAACTGTTCTTTCAAACGCAATGGGCGGTTGGAAGAATGACACGGCAGTTGGTCTTGTAGTCGTTAAGACTGTAGCACCGGAAAGGGCTTTTCCGCATAATATATTCTTGTACAGGGAATGAAGAGGCATCGAGTCTTCTACATTGTTATTGATCGAAACGTCATCGACATTGATTTTAGCCTTTCCGGAATATTCGTCAAATCCATCGAATATAACGAGTACTTTGTCTGGGTTTTCGATAATGTTGTGCCAAACGTCATCGGATAGAGGTTTACAATACTCCGATGCGTCCAGGAGTTTGCGAAGATTGAGTTTTTTGTTTGAGTTGTTAAACTTCCTAAACTTAATGAGGAAAGCGAGTTTGAAATCCATTTCAGATCTCTGTGCATCATTGAACAGGTTATTGGATGCCCAATTGCGCAGAATCTTTTTACAAAACATAGTTTTTCCAATTCCAGGACGACCGACAACAAGAATTTTCCGTTTTTTAGCATCAAAAATATCTCCCGGCAGCGTTGGTGATGACTTTTCTCTGGTTCTGAGGTATTCTTTTAGTTGTTCCTCTCTATTTCCACTAAATTGATACAGAGCTCTGTTTTCATGAATAATCAAATCGGTGTAGATGTGGTCAAGCTTTAGATCAGTTTTCGAGCCTTCACCCGGATTAAGGTGGAAAGGTGTAGCAGGATCTACGTATCGTTGTTCGGTGACTCTTAGGACATGTTCCTTCATACTTTCAATGAAAGTGGCTACTGATGGACTGTTAAACTCTTGCTGTTGCTGTTCTGACGGGGACTCGTTGTCAATTGGAGAGGTAGATGGTGAATTTGTGTCATTGATAGCCGTTGACGGTGTCTAATTCTTCCGATTCTGCAGGAAGGACAGCTGACTGATTCGAACTCAGATAACATTTATGAAATTTCGGGTCCTCCGTGAACCTTTCTACCTTTTTTGTACGCCATAACAAATAAAGAGACTCGATAAAAACAAGAAACGCGAACACTCCAGTTACAACGATCACGGCATCAGCCCAGAAGGTCTTCTTAGCTGCTCGTTGATTATGACATTCGTATGAAGTTTCCGTTTGTGTAACGTTGTGAGACGAACTGGCCGCGATGTCTGAAAACTTCCCGTCTCTCGTTAATTTGCAGTTAAAGTTCGAAGGAAAGCTGAGAGGATAAAGTACTTTGGTCTGCAGAATGACAAAGACAATCCCAAGAACAAATCTGGCAAGAAGTTGCAAACAGTACGCTTTGAATAGCTTTTTCCGGGGAGTTTGCCCTTCTGCATCATCATCCTCGTTTCTAGTGTTGGCAGTGTTGTTTTCAAGTTCCTCAACTTTCGACTTCACCGCTTGTGAGTATATTCCACAAACACTTGCAGTTACAAGAAAGTTAATAATCACGAATCCATAAACAGGGAATTTGTTGTATAGTTTATCGTACTGTTCGTAACACTTTTCACGAATGAGTTCCTTGTCGCCAGTTGAGCCACAGCGAAAGTCAAATCTCGGTTCGCTGTTTTCAATGTCTAGAAAGATTGCTGATAGGATAATTCCGAGCAAAATCCAACATACATTTGCCACATACCTGAACCAGTGGAGTGTTTTAGGAGCAAGCAAATCTTTGAGACCTTCCATGTTGTATGCCTCACGATTTCTCGCTTATGAGCTACAAACGCTTGCATTTAGCTTTTGTATTCTATTAGAAATAATGGAACGAGGAAAATGATTCAGATGTAGTCAACCGTGGCTGCTTGGTATATTTGAATCACAAAAACACTGTTTGCTGAACATTCGCGTCAGGTCAAAGTTTTCGTATCTCGAATATTCGGTATTATTGTTAGAAATGCGCATAAACTGGTCATAGCCTTTCTGTCTGTGAGCAATCATTCGACATGAGGTACAGAATTTTCTGCTGCACTTGTCCGCGAACAGGTTCTCGTGACAGCCACACCTGTGTTGCGAACTATACGAACCATTCTTGAAATATTTGTGGCAAATTTTAAAATCGCCGTAGGCGTGAATCCTTTAGTTTCCAACAGAGAGCCGGGTAAACGTTCCATCCTTGCTCAAACGAGGTTAAAACATGCACTCCCCTGTGATTTCAAGTTATTCAGGGCAGGATATCTTGTTACTTGATCAGCAAAAAAGGTTTTTAAACTCAACTACTGGGGAGGCTCTTCCTTTATTCAGTTATTGGCCAAAATCGAAGCTCTGCACTTAGTTTTGGGCATGAAACAACCGCTCCACCTTGAAACTACCTCAAGCAGGTCTGGATCCGTTACGGTTTATATACAAAGCTTTACATCTGAGCCGAAGATAAAGTATCTGTGCGGTAAAACAGGGTGCATACCCCCCTCCCCCCTCAATCCCCTTGCTAAACCCATCTCTGCTTTTTCTGTTTCAAAAGCAGTTTGCCCTGCATTTTGCCCCCCCCCCCCCCCCCCCCCCCCCCCNAGATAGCAATAACTGCAAAACAGAATTCTAAGGTGACGCTTACCGTGAGTCAGTGGAGCATTATCACATTATACTAATAACATTCCTATAGGAAAATGTCTTCATATGTAGCTGTATGTTTAGTTATCTAAGTTGAATATATATAAATGTCCATCAATTTGTTCCAGTCTTCATTATGGATCATTAATACACATTGTTCTTTTTTTAATCACAGCCTGTTGCTATGTAAAGCTATGGTAATGACCAAAAAAATTTTCTTTTCTCACAAAAACCCTCACTATTATTATGAAAAAAAAAACAAAGCAAAACAATATATATTACGGAAACCTAAGAGCTTCGAGATTGCTTAGAAGCTACCTGATTGCCGAACTCAAAAAAACTTAACATCTTTTTAAAAAATCGAAAATATAATGTCAAAGACTGTAGTTCAAATTATTGCTGTTCAGGAAAATATATTTACACATGCTTAGATAAATACTTTATAGTTTATTTTCCCTGCTTTTGAGAGATTTTTCCCTTGCTGGGTTATTCTGTTAGCTCTAAGGTCTAAGCTTTGTTTCTTTTGCAGTTAGTATGTGTGAGTGCAGTGCTGCCAGTGAAGCGTTTTATACATCCATCAGTTATCTTATTGAGCTTTAAGTTTAGAAAAGGCAATATTGATTCAGCTTCAAGTTGTTTAGTTTGTAGTTAGTGTGGTGTGAATCAGTTATCTGATTAAAAGCGAGGTTTAATCTTTTTAGTTCGCAAAAACCCTGATTGTGTTGGTTGCCAGGTAACAACTTCGCAATCTCAATACATCCTAGCGACTGAAGGTTGTTGAAGCTTAAATCAAAATCCAAAATTCTTTCAACAGGAAAACATTTACATTGCAAAAATGGTTTAGAAAAGTACTTTACAGTTAATGTTCATTGAGTTTAAGAGATTTTTACCTTCCTGGGTTATTCTATTACCACGGAGGTCTAAGCTGTTTAGTTGGCAGTTAGCGTGTGTGAGTGCTATAGATAAATGTTTCACTCCTTCATCAGTTATGTTGTTATTAGTGAGGTATAAGCTGTTTAGTTTGAAGTTAGTGTGTGTGAGTGCTGTAGCTAAATGTTCAACTCCTTCATCAGTTATGTTGTTACGGAAAAAGTTTAAGCTGTTTAGTTTGCAGTTAGTGTGTGTGAGTGCTGTAGATAAATATTTAACTGCTTCATCAGTTATGCTGTTACCCTGGAGGTTTAATCTTTTTAGTTCGCAAAAACCCTGATTGTGTTGGTTGCCAGGTAACAACTTCGCAATCTCAATACATCCTAGCGACTGAAGGTTGTTGCCGACTAAATCAAAAACCAAAATTCCTTCAACAGATTTAAGTGCATGCGCTAATGCTAAACAGTCAAGAGGTGACAGGTTACACCTATTAAAATCAAGCGCGTTACAACCAATTTTCGCCAGTTTCTTTTGAACTTCTCGATCAGAGGCTTTGTTCTCATACATGCAATTGAATAGCGTCACCACTAAAAACCTGTCTTCACGAGCTGGCCAACGGGTCAGTGTTTCAGTTCGTTCCTCTGAATCTTCATTCATCTTGATGTCAACTTCATAAGTAAAAGTTTTTGAGGGAAGAAGGTCGCTGAAAATATCTGTTGATGGTCCTTCTTTTTCAGCCAGCAGTCCAGCCACAAACTGCATCACAACCTTCCACGCGCCATCCTGGATGTGATCGGAAACAAACTTCTGCAGGTCTTCGGAACTGTACGTGTCCACCAAATGCTTCGCCGCCAAGAACTCCTGTATCGTCAGGTGTAAAAAACAATATTGTGCTCGTCCTTCCGTTAAACCGCTAAAACTATCAGGTAAACGGTGGAACAAGCCATTACTCGCTAGGTTCTCCACTTCGTGTGATTCAAAAATTAGTCTTCCCTCTTTAATTCCATCGAAGGCAATTTTTCCCAGACGTGCAAACACATCTTGCACATCGGAAGAAAGTTCCTTAAACTTCTTTAGAATAAATGGTTGACCTTCGGCTTTATCGTGGCGATATTGATTATCATCGTAACAAAAGTAGAACATCTTTATTGCAACTGAGTATATTTCTGTCAGTCTTGTCGGGAGGCTAGTAAAGCCAGTAGTGTTACGAAGCAACTGTAACAAGCACGAACAAATGATGTAACAATTCACAGGGATGTAGCAGAAGGCTAGAAGGTTTGAGTTACTTGTAATGTGTTGCTTTATGGTTTCTGCTTTGTCCTCCTGCTTTGAAAACTTCTCTACATAATCTTCCACTTGGCCAGTTGTAAATCCCAGAATTTCAACGGTTCTATTAAAGTCAAGACTTCTGATACATGGCACGGCATTAGGCCTTGTAGTCATTAAGACTGTCGCGCCGGTAACAATTTTTCCCGATACTATTTTCTTCAGCAGGAAATGGACAGGCATCTTCTCTTCTTCACTGTTTCTGTACGGAACGTCATCCTTATTAAATTCACTCTTCCCAGAATATTCATCAAATCCATCAAAAATAATCAGTACTCGCTTTGGGTTGTTACGGATGTAGCTCCAGGCCTCTTCAGATAGAGCTGTTGAATACTCTGAGTGATCCAGAAGCTCGCGAAGATTTAGTTCTTTTTTGTCTGTAGAGTTGAACATCCTCAACTTAACTAGAAAAGCGACTTTAAAATCTATTTGTGATTTTTGTGTTTTGAAAGAATCTTTGTGCTTAACATAGTTTTTCCAATCCCAGGACGACCGACAACAAGAATCTTCCGCTTTTCAGCATCGAAAATATCTCCTGGCCGTTTTGGTCGCAATTTTTCATTGGCTTTGTGGTACTCTTGAAGTTGTTCCCCTCTGTCTCCAGAAAAGTTGTAGTCAACTCTCCCCTCATAAAAAATCAAGTTCGTGAAGATTTCGTCAAGCTTTAGACCTCTTCCTTCGCCTGGATCATCAAAAGGTGATTTAAGGTCTTTGTAAGGTTGTTTGGTGACTTCTCGGACATGTTTCTTCATTTGTTCAATGGAAGGAGCTACTACTGTTTCTTCGTTTGTTCTTTGAGTGTGGTTGATTGACAAGTCAAGTGGTGCTGCGAGTGATGCCGCGTCTGATGGTTGTTCGGGTCCTTGTTGCGTTTCTGGCAAGGTAGGTGATGTTGTTGGAGTGCGCGGGTTGATTGACACATGCAAAACAAGGGGAACGGTAGATGAAAGTTCGGTGTGATCGTCGTCAAAATTGGGAATAGTTAGTACCAACTTTTTCCCTTGTTCTTTCTTAGGGGGAGTTGGCTTATTCGAAATCAAATAATATTTATGAAATCTCGGGTCCTCCGTGAATCTTTCTACTTTTTTTGCACGCGATATCAAATAAAGAGACTCGACAAAAACAAGAAATGCGAACGTTCCAGTTACAACGATCACGATATCAGCCCAGAAGGTCTTCTTAGCTGCTCGTTGATTATGACATTCGTATGACGTTTGTGTTTGTGTTCCGTTGCGAGACCCACTAGCCGTGATGTCTGAAAACTTCCCGTCTCTCGTCAAGTTACAGTTAAAGTTCGAGGGAAAGCTGAGAGGAAAAAGTAATTTGGTCTGCAGGAGGACAAAAGAAATCCCGAGAACAAATCTGGCAAGAAGTTGCAAACAGTACGCTTTGAATAGCTTTTTTCCGCTTAAGTTATTGTTCCTTGGTTGAGTCTGCGTTTCTACGTTATCTTGATTCTTGTCGGGTTCGAATTCCTCAACTCTCGACTTCACCGCTTGTGAGTATATTCCACAAACACTTACAGTAACAATGAAGTTAATAATTACGAATCCATAAACAGGGAATTTGTTGTATTGGTTTTCGTACTGTTCGTAACACTTTCCACGAATGAGTTCCTTGTCGCCATTTGAGCCACAGCGAAAGTCAAATCTCGGTTCGTTGTTTTCAGTGTCTGCAAAGATTGCTAATAGGATAATTCCGAGCACAATCCAACAGATATTGGCCACATAACTGATCCAGTGGAGTGTTTTAGGAGCAACCAAATCTTTAAGACCGTCCATGGTGTATGTCTGTCGATTTCTCGCTTATGAGCTATTGCATTGGTATTCTGAAAGAAGTAATGGAACGAGGAGGGAAGTGGAGCAGCTGCTCGTAAGGTCTCTCCTAATTGGTCCCAGGGAACAATGACAAGTCATTCTTCCAATTGTTTTAGTATTGTTTGCGGTCAGGGAAACGCGCCATTGGTGGCCTCTTCCGACCAGCTGCTAACGAGGAAAATGATTCAGATGTAGTCAACCACGATTGTTTGGTATATTTGAATCACAAAAGCACTGTTTGATGAACATTCGCGTCAGGTCAAAGTTTTCGCATCTCGAATATTCGGTACTGATTGTTAGAAATGCGCATAAACTGATCATAGCTTTTCTGTTTGTGAGTAATCATTCTACATGGATTTTCTGCTGCACCCGCGCCACTCGCGTACAGTCTCTTTACAGCCACATCTGTGTTGCGAGCTATACGTTCATTTTTGCCTCGTCGTGAGAGACCTCTGCTAGCAGGGAAGAAATATTTGTGGCCAATTTAAACATCGCCTTAGGCGTGAATCTTTCGTCTTCAACGGAGGGGCCGAGATAAAACGTTCCATCGTTGCTCGAAAGAGGTTTAAACATGCATTTTTCTCCCCAAATCCGACACATTTCCCCCAGGTCCCCAGGCCTGCATTTCCCCACCGTGTGATAATTGCGATAACAAAAACGGGCGAAAGCAAGTGAAGAAGTTTGGTCAACCTTGAATGACTTTGACAGTACAATTTTGGTATGCATACTAACTGTTCAGTGCTATTTTTGCCAGCGTGTCAGGCCAAAGAACTTCCTGTCTCGCTCTCTCTCTTTTGTTTTTATTGTTTCCAGATGAAGATTAGGCCAGGACAGGCTGAGAAAAATGAAAAAGCGAGTTCAATTTATAGGTTAAGACAATTGACAATAGCTGAAAAGATGAAAAGATGCGTGCTCTGAGACGGAATGTGGGCGACATCTATAATATTGGTCTAATACAACTTTAATCATATCAAAAACTAAAGTTATATACAAGGATGAATCTTACAGGAAAGTTAAAAATGATGTATAAGTCACTTTTAGAAAAAGCAATAACTGCAAAGTAGAATTCTAAGGTGACGCTTACTGTGAATCAGTGGAAGCAACTGGAAGCATTATCACATCATATTAATAACCTTCCTATAGGAAAATGTCTTCATATGTAGCTGTATGTTAAGTTATCTAAGTTGAATATATATATATATATGTCCATCAATTTGTTCCAGTTTTCATTATGGGTCATTAATACACATTGTTTTTTTTCCTTTTAAATCATACCCTGTTGCTATGTAAAACTATAGTAGTGACCAAACAAATTTTCTGTTCTCACAAAAACCCACACTATTATTATGAAAAAACAAAACAAAACAAAACAATATATAAATGGAAACCTAAGAGCTTCGAGATTGCTTAGAAGTTACCTGATTGCCGAACTCAAAAAAACTTAACTTCTTTGTAAAAAATCGAAAATATAATGCCAAAGAATGTAGCTCAAATTACTGCTGTTCAGAAAAACATATTTGCTCATGCTTAGATAAATACTTTATAGTTTATTTTCCTTGCTTTTGAGAGATTTTCCCCTTCCTGAGTTATTTTGTTAGCCCTAAGGTCTAAGCTTCCTGAGTTATATTATTCTCAAAGAGGCTTAAGTTCTTCCTTTTGCAGTGTGTGTGTGTGTGTGTATGTGTGTGTGTGAGTATCTGTTATATGATTAAAAGCGAGATTTAATTTTTTAAGACGAAAAAACCCCGACTGTGTTCGCTGCCAGGTAACAACTTCTAGACCTCGATACATGTTTAATGGCTTAGATTCTTACTTCACAGTTTATGCTTATTGAGTTTAAGAGATTTTTACCTTCCTGGGTTATTTTATTACCAAAGAGGTTTAAGCTGTTTAGTTTGCAGTTAGTGTTTGTGAGTGCTGTAGATAAATGTTTAACACCTAGATCAGTTAAGCTGTTATTCATGAGGTCTAAGCTATTTAGTTTGCAGTTAGTGTGTGTGACTGCTGTAGATAAATGGTTAACACCTTGATCAGTTATCTTGTTATTCCAGAGGTTTAGGCTTTTTAGTTTGCAGTTAGTGTGTGTGAGTGCTGTAGATAAATGTTTAACACCTTCATCAGTTACGTTGTTACCACTGAGGTTTAAGATGTTTAGTTTGCAGTTAGTGTGTGTGAGTGCTTTAGACAAATTTTTAACATTTTCATCAGTTATGCTATTACCCCCCAGGTTTAAGCTGTTTAATTTGCAGTTAGTGTGTGTGAGTGCTGTAGATAAATGTTCAACATCTTCATCAGTTATGCTGTTACCCCAGAGGTTTAACCTTTTTAGTTTGCAGTTAGTGTGTGTGAGTGCTGTGGATAAAAGTTTAACTCCTTTATCAGTTAATTGGTTACCCCCGAGGTTTAAACTTTTTAGTTCGCAAAAACCCTGATTATGTTCGTTGCCAGGAAACAACTTCGCAATCTCAATACATGTCAACGACTGAAGGAAGTTGTTGCTTAAATTAAAATCCAAAATTCCTTCAACAGATTTAAGTGCATGCACTAATGCTAAACAGTCTAGAGGTGACAGGTTACAGTCACTAAAATTAAGCGCATTGCAACCAATTTTCGCCAGTTTCTTTTGAACTTCTCGATCAGAGGCATTATTCTCATACATGCAATTGAATAGCGTCACCACTAAAGCCTTGTCTTCATGAGCTGGCCAACAGGTCAGTGTTTCAGTTTGTTCCTCTGAGTCCTCACTCAACTTGATTTTAACTTCTTGAGTCAAAGTTTTTAAGGGAAGAAGGTCGCTGAAAATATCTGTTGATTGTCCTTCTTGTTCAGCCAACAGTCCAGCCACAAACTGCATCACAACATACCACGCGCCATCCTTGACGTGAGCGGAAACGAAATTCCGCAGTTCTTCGGAACTCAACGTGTCTATCAAATACTTCGCAGCCATGAACTCCTGCATCGTCAGGTGTATAAAACAATATTGTTCTCTTCTCCTTGATAAAGGATCGTCACTAGTGTCAGGTAAACGGTGAAACAGGCCATTACTCTTTAGGTTGTTAACTTCAACTGATTCAAAAATCAGTCTTCCGTTTTCAATTCCACGAAAAGCAATTTCTCCAAGGCGTGTGAACTCGCCTTGCACAGAGGAAGACAGTTTCTTAAATGGGTCAAGAAAATTGTCTTCAACGCTGCTCACTTTTTCAGAGTGGCCGTGACGAAAGTAAAAGTACTTGACAGCGATGGAGTATATTTTAGTTAGTGTTGTGGGAAGAAGGCCAGGGCTAGCGGATTTGCAAAGAAGTTGAAACAAGCAGGAACAAATGATGAAACAATTCACCGGAACGTAGCAAAAGGATAAGAGATTACGGTTATTGCTGATGTGCTGCTTTATGGTGTTTGCTTTCTGGTCATCGCCTTTGGTGAACTTCTGCACATACTCATCCACTTGCTCAGTTGTAAATCCCAGAATTTCAACCGTTTTGTCAAAGTTAAAACTTCTCATAAATGACCCAGCGTTTGGCCTTGTGGTAGTTAAGACTGTGGCACCGCGAAGAATGTCTCCTGATGCTATTTTCTTGAAGAGGAAATGAATAGGCATGCTTTCCTGTTCATTGTCTCTGTAAGAATGGCTTTCGTCATCGATTTTAGTCTTGCCAGAATATTCGTCAAATCCATCAAAAATCACAAGTACTTTGTTTGGGTTTTGAAGAATGTAGTTCCAGACCTCTTCGTTTAGATCTTCTTTGGAATACTCTGAGTGACTCAGAAGCTCGCGAAGACTGAGTTTTTCGTCTTGCTTGGAGTTAAATCTCCTAAGCTTGATGAGGAAAGCGACTTTGAAATCCACTGGTGATTTTTGTGCTTCTTTAAACAAGTTATCGGAAGCCCAGTTGCGGAGAATCTTCGTGCTAAACATAGTTTTTCCAATTCCAGGACGACCAACAACAAGTATCTTCTGTTTTTCAGCACCAAAAATATCTGCTGGTTGTGTTGGTTGCGAGTTTTCTCTGGGTTTTCTTGTAGGGTACTCTTCTAGTGGTTTCTCTCTATCTCCAGCTATCAAGTCATGCATATCAACTCTCCCCTCGTGAATAACCAAATTGGTGTATATTTGGTCAAGCGTTTGATCTCCTTGAGAGCCTTCACCTGGATTAGGATCAAAAGGATCTCCATCAGATCTTTCGGTTTTCCATCGGACATGTTCCTTCATATGTTTGATGAAAGTGGAGACGGATGTTTGTTCGTCTGTTGGATTGGGGTTGATTGACGAGTCATGTGAAGCGTTGCTGGATGCCGTGGCTGGCGCGTTTGATGGTGGCAGTTCGGTTCGATTGTCAATATGCGGCGGTTCTGGCGGGGATTCATTGCAGGGTTGAACGCAGGTAGATGAAGGATTGGTATGATCGTCGTCGTTGTTCAATAACGGACCCAGTTCGTTTACTGTAGAAGGCGTAGAATCTGAATTTGACGTATTCGAACTCAGATAACGTTTATGAAATTCCTGGTCCTCCGTAAAGGCTTTAAAGCTTCCTTCTCTTGCACGCCATAACAACATATACAGACACCCGATAAACACAAGAAATACAAACGTTCCAGTTACAACGATCACGGCATCAGCCCAAAAGGTCTTCTTAGTCGCTCGTTGATTATGACATTCATATGACGTTTGCGTTTGAGTTTCGTTGCGAGACCCACTGGCCGTAATGTCTGAAAACTTCCCGTCTCTTGTTAAGTTACAGCTAAAGTTCGAGGGAAAGCTGAGAGGATAAAGTAATTTGGTCTGCAGAAAGACAAATAAAATCCCAAGAAAAAATCTGGTAAGAAGTTGCAAACAGTACGCTTTGAAAAGCTTTTTTTCGGTTAAGTTATTGTTCCTTGGTTGAGTTTGCATTTCTTCATCATTTTGATTCTGGTCGTGTTCACTTAGTACCTCAACTCTCGACTTCATCGCTTGTGAGTAAATTCCACAAACACTTGCAGTAACAAGGAAGTTAATAATCACGAACCCATACACAGGAATACCGAATTTGTTGTACTGTTTTTCATACTGTTCGTAACACTTTTTACCAATGAGTTCCTCGTCGCCAGTTGAGCCACAACGAAAGTCAGTCGGTTCGCTGTTTTCAGTGTATAGAACGATTGTTGATAGGATAGTTCCGAGCACAATCCAGAATACATTTGCCACATAACTGATCCAGTGGAGTGTTTTAGGAGCAACCAAATCTTTAAGACCGTCCATGGTGTATGTCTGTCGATTTCTCGCTTATGAGCTATTGCATTGGTATTCTTAAAGAAGTAATGGAACGAGGAGGGAAGTGGAGCAGCTGCTCGTAAGGTCTCTCCTAATTGGTTCCAGGAAACAATGACAAGTCATTCTTTCAATTGTTTTAGTATTGTTTGCGGTCAGGGAAACGCGCCATTGGTGGCGTCTCTTCCGAGCAGCTGCTAACGAGGAAAATGATTCAGATGTAGTCAACCACGACTGTTTGGTATATTTGAATCACAAAAACAATGTTTGTTGAACATTTGTGTCAGGTCAAAGTTTTCGCATCTCGAATATTCGGTATTATTGGTAGAAATGCGCATAAACTGGTCATAGCCTTTCTGTTTGTGAACAATCATTCATCATGAAGCATAGGATTTTCTGCTGCACTCGCTCGCGAACAGACTCTCGTGACAGCCACACCTGTGTTGCGAGCTATAGGTACCATTCTTGAAACATTTGTGGCCAATTTAAATATCGCCTTAGGCGTGATTCCTTTCGTCTCCAACGGAGGGCCGAGATTAAACGTTCCATCGTTGCTCGAAAGAGGTTTAAACATGCATTTTTCTCCCAAAATCCGACAAATTTTCCCACCGTGTGATAATTGCGATATCAAAAACGGGCGAAAGCAAGTGAAGAAATTTGGTCAATCTTGATTGATTCTGACAGTGCAATTTTGATATGTATATTAACTGTTGCTATTCTTGCGTGCGTGTCTGGCCAAAGAACTTCCTGTCTCTGTCTCTGTCTCTCTCTTTTTTTATTGTTCCCCGATGAAGATTAGGCCAGGACAGGCTGAGAAAAATGAAAAAGCGAGTTCACTTTGTAGGTTAAGACAATCGACAATAGCTAAAGAGATGAAAAGATGCGTGTCTCTCAGACGGAATGTGGCCGAGAAGCCTCGGGGTATGAGGTTGAAGTTTGTACTTTCCCAGTTACTCACGTGTACACATGAAAGTAAAAACATGTTCGCTTTCTTCAAAAACTTAAGGTGGCTCGATACAGTTTTTCAAGGCCAATACCTTCCCAAGTTTGAGCATAAACTACGTCGCCATAAACAAAGTTTTGGAAAATTGCCCCCACAGTTGTATTAAGTAAAGATGAAAATCTTTTATGATCAGGGTTGCAATGACATCGGAGTTGTCATAGCAACGAAATGACGCTATTACCTATTTTACTTACAGACGTATTTCTCGGCACTGAGAACTGTTCTTCCAAAATTATTCACGGGAGCTTTTTCCTCCAATAGCCGCCTCGATGTTCGTGAAGTTTAAGCGAAATCTGTAACAGCGTTATCGAGATATTTTGGGATCAAGATTTTGTGGTTAGAAATACGGTAAAAAATGGATAATCTTGATGTTGGGCTGTTATCTTTAGAAAATGAAGCGCTTTTGACATGCAATTTCACCTGATAGTAGTTCCAATCTTTTTTTTTAAAACGTGTGTGAAAGACCGTGGAGATAGCTCCAGCCTATTGCTAGAAAGAAGGATTTGATTAGTATGTATCGAGGCGCTTTTGTTAGCGGTTTTTGAACATTTTGGTCTACTTTAACAAATTAGCGAATAATTTTTAAACCACTCGATAG